AAATGGCGCAGCCGTTCCACCCCTGTTATAGTGCAGGACCGGGTATAACGCGGCCTTTTTAAATTACCGGTTCGCCTCCCATAGAACTCCATGTAATTACATACCGCTTAAAATGCAGGCGCGCGAAGGGAAATATTGGTTACAGTGCGGTTTCTGGAACAGCCTGCCGACAACGCCGACCAACCGGCGCAGCGAGCAGGCTTCCCTGTGCGACACTAGATAACGGCGCTAGCCGCAAGCGGCACTCGCGGGGCAAGGAGGTTGCTCGAAGAAGCGGGGAGAAGCGAAGAGAGAGGCTTCAGTTGCCATAGCGACTGCATTTGAAACAACCGCAACGACAGACCTGACAGACCAGTCGCAGGTCGAGGAGAAGTGTTTGCGTGCGTTGCATGCCGGTCGCGGGCCGGCTTCTTCTATCCGCAAACACGGCGTCGGTTGTGATCGTCGACATAGACAGCGTGGTGGAAGCGCATCGTTCCGCGTAAAACCGCTATTCTTGACCGTGAATTTTCACTGTGTGTCGCTATGATAATCCAGCACGTACTAGAAGGGAAGATCCACCTATTCGTGCGGCGATGCGTGGCGGCACTCTCAAGACGGCAGAAACGCCCGTGTTGTCGTGTTTGTTTACTTCGACTACAGGGGGCTATGTTGCACATTTTGCACTCCCAGGAGACTTGGGAGAAGGAAGTGCACGTCAACAACGCAGCAAATGCAGATTGGATGTTGATTTTGTTTTCTTCAGTCAACATCCAAGCTGCGTTCGTTGTGTCATTGACGTCACTTCCTTCTCCCTAGTCTCCTGGGAGTCCAAAACGTGCAACATAGCCCCCCTGTGGTGCTTTGTAAGCATTTGTGTTTTCGAACATTGCCCGGATTTCTTATTTGGAGCATTTCATGCCTACCCTCAAGTTGAAGGTATTACTGGTCCGTACCATATAAAAGATGCGAATTTTCACGCGTTTTCATCACCGGAGAAAAGTGATTTGGGTTAGCAATCCTGAACGCTCGCAACGTCCGTCCGCAACCCGCGATGCCGTTAAAAGGCTGCGCCAGGCAAAAGCTGCTCATTTCTTTCAAAATGTGTGACACACTTGAGACGGAACTGTACTAGTCTGGTGAAATAGACTTTCCTCAAACTAAGCTTTATTTTTCATCTAATATAAAATAAATTGTTTTACAAAGGCAAGTTGTCTCATGGCATGTATTTTGGCCTGAAAAATTGATGCTTTGGTTATAGCGCGGTACCGCTTATAGTGCGGATTTTCGCGACTCCCGCGACATACGTTATATGCGGTCTACACTGTACTTCAAACTGGCGAATAATTGTAACTAACATGCAGGTTCCGTCCTATGAGTTTCCAGGAAGAAAACTCCTGGTAATTCAAACTTTGCATTATTCAAACAAAGTTTTGGTACCTCTCAGGTTCAAATTAACGAGATTCCACTGTATGAATATTGCACTTTATTTTGAAGTGAATATCAAATAGCCTATAATTTAAAACTAGTATATAATCATTTGAATATTCGCGCAAACTTACTCTTTGCACATAGCACTTAGGCATCCGAAAAAACAACTGTACTTTCTTCATTTTCAGTGGCATCACCAAGAATACCACGTGCAAGACAATTTGTTTCCTTTCTGAGAACAGCTGCCTTTTGGCGCAGACATGGCGCAAACTGTGAACAAGTGCAACCTTTGGAGCAGCATGTGGCAGGGTTTTCATTCTGGCGCAGTTTGGCGCAAATGACGCAGCAGTTCCACCATTGTAAGTGCGTCGGAGCAACTCTCGGTGACTGAAAATATTGTGCGCGTGATGTTTCAATCACGGACATCCAAGATCATGGTGGAAGAGTGCAACTAGCGGAACGATCGACATAATCCAAAAACGCCAGGCGCAGAGTGTCGGAAATCTGCTGTCCGAGCAGTCACACACTGTCAGAGCAAAACAGAGTTAGAGTGATACATTTGTTTCTTACATCTTTCTGCATGATCATAATCGAAACATCATGTGCACCCTATTTTCAACCATGAAGAGTTACTACATTTAACCCTTATGCTCTTATAAAAACTTTTAGAGTGCACCTCTTAGGCACCCAATTCCGACTTGGTCAGCGTAACTGCGCATTGGTTTCCCATAATGACATCACATGTGTCATCACGAGAGAGGAAGAGGACGAAATTTTTTCCGCTAAATTTAGAGAAAAAATTTTCACGCTAGATTTAGCAAAAAAATTTCCCCGCTAAATTTAGTGGAAAAAGTCCCCCGCTAAATTTACCGGAAAAATTTCTCCGCTAAATTTAGTAAAAAATAATTCCTTACAAAATGTAGAAAAAGAAATTTCCCGCAAAATTTAGCGAAAAAACTTCCCCGCTAAATTTAACAAAAAATTTCCTTGCTAATTCTAGCGGGAAAAATTCCTCGTTAGATATACCAGAAAAATTTCCGCACAAAATTAAAATCCCCTGCAAAATTTAACTGAAAAATTTCCACGCCGAATTTAGCGGAAAACATTCTCCGATAAATTTAGTGGAAGAAATTTCCCGCTATATTTAGAATCTCCGTGAAATTTAACGGAAAAACTTCCCCGCTAAATTTAGCAGAAAATTTCCCCGCTTAATTTAGCTTAAAGTTTCCCACTAAATTTAGCAAAAAAATTTAATTGCTAAATTTAGCAAAAAAAATTCCCACTAAATTTAGCGCAAAAAATTCCACGGTAGATTTAGCGAGGAATTTAGCGGAAAAAATTCCCCGGTAGATTCGCGAGGAATTTAGTGCAAAAAATTCCATGGTAACTTTAGAGAGGAATTTAGAGGGGAATTTAGCGGAAAAAATTCCCCGGTAGATTTCGCGAGAAATTTAGTGCAAAAAATTCCATGGTAGATTTAGAGAAAAATTTAGAGGGGAATGTAGCGGAAAAAATTCCCCGGTAGATTTTGCGAGGAATTTAGTGGGGAATTTAGCGGAAAAAATTCCCCGGTAGATTTAGCGAGGAATTTAGTGCGAAAAATTCCATGGTAGATTTAGAGAGGAATTTAGTGGGGAATTTAGCAGAAAAAATTCCCCGGTAGATTTTGCGAGAAATTTAGTGCGAAAAATTCCATGGTAGATTTAGAGAGGAATTTAGTGGGGAATTTAGCAGAAAAAATTCCCCGGTAGATTTAGGGAGAAATTTAGTGCAAAAAATTCCATGGTAGATTTAGAGACGAATTTAGAGGGGAATTTAGCGGAAAAAATTCCCCGGTGGATTTCGTGAGGAATTTAGTGGGGAATTTAGCGGAAAAAATTCCCCGGTAGATTTAGCGAGGAATTTAGTGCGAAAAATTCCATGGTAGATTTAGAGAGGAATTTAGTGGGGAATTTAGCAGAAAAAATTCCCCGGTAGATTTTGCGAGAAATTTAGTGCGAAAAATTCCATGGTAGATTTAGAGAGGAATTTAGTGGGGAATTTAGCAGAAAAAATTCCCCAGTAGATTTCGCGAGAAATTTAGTGCAAAAAATTCCATGGTAGATTTAGAGAGGAATTTAGAGGGGAATTTAGCGGAAAAAATTCCCCGGTAGATTTCGCGAGGAATTTAGTGGGGAATTTAGCGGAAAAAATTCCCCGGTAGATTTAGCGAGGAATTTAGTGCGAAAAATTCCATGGTAGATTTAGAGAGGAATTTAGTGGGGAATTTAGCAGAAAGAATTCCCCGGTAGATTTAGCGAGAAATTTAGCAATAAATGTCGCGAAAATTTTCCGCTAAATGAGAAAGGAGCAAGAGAGGAGGAGGGGCATACCCTCCCCTTCTCCTCCTCCAGAACTGCACTCTAATTCGGCACTACAGAAAGTGTAAACGTCTTTCTTCTTTTTCTTCCTCTCACTACCACCAGCAGGGGATTTTTTTCGGCTTCTGGTTGGCCAAGAGCGCATGCCAAGCCCTCTGTCTGCATCTGGTGCACGCCCTGGCTCTGCCCGGTCCTCCCATTAACCACTTTCTCTTTAAACACGGCTCTGGGTGTCACTTAACAGATGTTCGTCAGTAAGCATCACTATAATTTCCAACAATGTCCTGAGCCGGCATGCACGTTTCATGTTCCCAACAAGGTGGACCAAAATGCTAAACAGGAAGGAACTGCAATCAAGGTTATGACAGAGCCAAGGTAGAACACAAAGAAAGCATCTGCTGGGGATGTGAGGTGTACTATCTCTGTTTCACCAATATAAGCATTCCTTCGTTGAAAACCACACGTGTTACAGAGGCCAACTCTCCAACAAACCAAAAATAGACGTCAGTTAGAGTACATTAACTTTTAGAAGTAATAGCCGTAGGTTGTGGGCACCCTGGCAGCTTCCCAGCCCAGTTGCCCGACTGCGAGGCAAAGGTGCCGAACTTATCCCGCGTGGCGGCGACGTCACGCAAGCCACGCGCACATCGGATGCGGCGCCTTGATAAGGCAGATCACACGCGGCGCACAGAGAGTCGCTGCCTTGGCTCAGGCGCCGCTGGTAACCATGTTAATCATCTCGTCCATGTTCCATTAAATGTAGTAGCTTGTTGTTGAAATTGTTGGCTCTGTGTTGTTCCTCCGGGTCGGGTATGCAGCAAGGCAAACTGACCACAATGGCGCCCAACGTGGGGCCAACGGAATGAAAATTCAGAATACAGGCTTTTTGTATTCTGAATTTTTTTTTTCTATTTGTTGTTTAATTCGACATAGCTGTAGAAGTTTTGTCATTTATGAAAATTCCACACATACATTGTACTTTCAAGAAATAAAGGTTTAAAATCTTTTTCCCACATTACACCAACCTGTTTCTTTTGAAAGAACAATTGGCCACATTTTGATGTGTCATATTTCTCCATATGCAAGTTAGTTAGGAAAATAAAAGCGTTTGCAAATCTTTTTAAAATTGCTACTTTTCCCATGGTCAGGAAAGAGTTAAAGTACTTCCTAACACTGGTTAAGTATAAGTAAAGTGTTTCTAAGAACATTACTAATTATACCAAGCCTTACCTCTTTGTTTGTGTATGTTGTGTTGCCATATCTCGCAGTTACCAGAGGCACAAAAATGGTACAGCTCTGGATGGCGTCGTTCAGTCGGTTTTGCCAATCATCACCGGGTACAATGTCATCTTGGTCCTATAATCAATCAATCAGTCAAACCATCAATTACTACATTTTATTTACAACTTATGCCTCGCCTTAATGTCTACAAATAGCTTTAAAAGCCAGGCTGGAAACAATATGTGAGTTTGCCATATATTCAGAGAGAAATCAGGTTTCACCCAATTTTGCTCAAACTTTTTGGTGTACAAATTTCGGTTAAAATCAAGTTTTACTCAAAAGCAGGGCTGTACTAGTATGGTACTACAAAACAAAACCGCTGAGTCATGCTCACTCACCAAGAACACCTTAGCTCCTAGGCTCTCCAATGACTCCTTCAGCTTCCTGGCGTGTTCGTCAGCTTCGCTGCGCGCATAGCTGATGACAATGTCTTTCTTGGAGTCATCCTGAAGCGTGAATCCAGTGCTGAAATCGCAAAACGTAGGAGGTTCACACTACTGCCCTCGGAAAGAGCTTCTCTCGCAGTGTTCAATAATGTTAAGTGAGACACATCGTTCAACAATGAGCAAGAAACTATACTCTGTTTCACACTTAGCGTGCAACGCTGTCAAAGCTACTGGCACGAGCGCGTGGCTTCATCAATGGTTTTGTTCGCACGAGAACGCATGCAAATGATCAACGAGATCAAGCCCCATGCTCGCGCCAAAAGCTTTGACAGCGCTGCACACTAAGCATGAAACAGAGTATATATCACTTCAGAACAATTTTGTGTTATTTGTCGTACATTGACGGGATCTTAGGTTGACATCTTGTGTCAGTACCCATACAAAGTTGGACCTATGAAAATCTGAGCGTGCGGGGCCTACAGCTCAGATAGCTGACCCAATTTCTGATATTCATGAGTTGCTTCAGAAAGATTAGATCGAGTTGTTTCTCAGGCACACGGCAGACTCAAAAGTGTCGGTCCTCGGTTAAGGTGTACTGCCAGTGAACTGTCAATAAATAGCCAGTGCATTCCTCGCTATATGATTTTATATGCTGCGAGTAAGCAGAAGGATAAAATCAAGAAGCATTAGCGCGAAGGATCGGGCAATGATCTACTCTGCAACCTAATGTTCTTGCCCCACAAAATTAATGAAAACAGTCACACAAAACTAAAAGAGGTCTTTTTTTTTTTTCTTTTTTTTAACAGTATTAGTACTTCAGAAATCATCAAGCAGTGGCATAGCCAGGAATTTTTTTCAGGAGGGGTTAAGGTGACTGGGAGGTCCTTAACTTGGGGTGTGAAGAGAAGAAGGGGAAAGGGGAGTCAAATGCATGTTTATATTACAGGGTCGGTTGAATTTCAGGGGGGGACTGAAGCCCCATAAGCCTCTCTCCTGGCTATGCCACTGCCATCAAGGTATGAGTATTAGAAGAAAACATTAAGACATTGGGATTTGAACAAAATGTCAAGATACAAGGACTTGAACAGAAAAAAACATCAAGGAGATACAAGGGTCTGAACAGAACAAAACATCAAACTACAAGAGCTTGAACAAAACATAAAGAAGTTGAGGATTTGAAAGAGCATCAAGTAGCATCAACAAGATACACAGATTTCAACAAACCATAAAAAAGGTACAGTCTAAGATCATTACAACAGACCTGGTTACAACAGACATTTGGATATAACATACCAATTTGTGAAGTTTGGTTGGTTTTCCTCTACATACCATTGACTCAACTTAATATCTGCATACAAGATACTCCTCTTACAACAGACCGATATCTTGATCAAAATCAAGGTCTGTTGTAACGAGCTTAGACTGTATTGGGATTTGAACGGAACATAAAAAAAGTATGACGAATGGAAAAGAATGGCAATAAGATACAAACATTGGAGCAGATCAGCAACAAGATACGAGGATTTGGACAGAACATCAAGGATATGTGAGAATTTCCACAGAACGTCAAGAAAATATGAGGATGTGGAAAGAACATCTTGACCAAAATGTCACTTAGATGTGAAGAAAACAACAGTTAGTGAACAAAGGTTACCTGTTTTTCTTCCTCTTCCTGCAGTCCTTGCTCCCCTTTATATTGCAAGGTAGGGGTGGCTTGATATGAGGTAGCTGTATTGTCACAACTCCCTGAGAAATAACGTCCCATCCAGCCAGGTCCTTCTCCTGCTCCTGCTTCACGGGCCAGCCGTTTCTATCGCAGAAGGAAAACTCTCCATCTAAAAGCTGAAATTGAAGAGAGGTATGCACATGTTACTTCCAGGGCAACAACGAGAAGTCAGGAAGCTTTTCCTTCATTCTGGCTCCTGCCAAATGGCATGTAATCCAATAGCATTTGAGATCCCTTGCCTGCCAAGTTTTCAAGGTCAACTGTAGTGCTACCTCTACTGTCCCGCTGCCTTCCCCGTCATTGCGCATATGCTATGTAGCTATTCACTGGCATTCTGCTTGGGCAATTTTAGCGCACTCTCCAGATGTCCGTCAAGCACGGCACTCTCGGTCTGCCTCAACGAGGTGCTGTTTCTGCGCGTGCAGACACTAGAGTCGGTGACAGGTTGAAGGCCGATGACCAGACAGAAGATTCTGCAAGGCAGAAGATCCTCCCCACCCTGGAAGAGGGGAAAACAGGCAATGGTGGACAGGGTAGAAGGGGAGGGAGGAGGAAGCGGGGGAAAAGTGGAAAGTGCGAACTGGTCATCGGTCTTGAGTAAAGTGGAAGCTCTTTCCACCTTAACAAAATGAACGATGCAGAGGACGTCACCTTCCAGCGTTCGCTCTGCCAAAGGGGGGGAGGTGGGAGGAGGTTCCACCCTTCACCCGTCACCGACTATATGACTATATTGTGTTATGCAAGATTGATAATGAAACCAGGAACCTGTAGAGTGACTACTTTGCAAAAACTGGATAGCAGGTCAACTGTGAGATGTGTGTAACAGGAGAAAACTTGCCTGTTCATTGATTTCAGAACGAAACTGGTTGAGCGAAATGTTTCTGTCCGCGAATATGAAGCCAATCACCGGTCCAACGGATTTCTTCACACCGATCCGCCATTTCTCTGAAACAGAAATAAAACAAAAATATAGTGTGTCTGTCGTTACAGTGAACTCCACCGAGGTAAAAATTCCCGCACCGAAATTTCTCGTGATGAACAACGCTGTGGTCCCCCCTAGAACATCGCTGGCTGTTATGTTTCTTTCTTGGTGTTTCCATACCGGGATCCTAGAAGGAGAGGATCATTTCTATCATTGCAGAGAGGCCACGCGTTCAATGGGGGTGCTCACTTTTCTTGGGTGAGGAACACGAAGTCGTGACGGAACGCCGCAAGTTCGCTGGAGATGAGACCCCTCACTTCAACGAGTGACGCGTCGGCTTTTGGTAAGCGTAGAACTCCGACGACGTCGCTCCTCGTGTTGGTTCGATTCAGGTCAACCTCACCCACAAGATGCACGCCAATGAGTTGAGAACACATGACCTGGAACAGAAAAGTGCCGCAGCCATGGCCCGAACAAACTCCGGTACAGATAACACAGATCCGTGAGAATGCGATTGCTGTAATCTTCGAATATCCGCCCTTGCGACACGAAGGGTGGGCAAATGTCAAGCGCGAGAACTCCAGCTATCGTCGACCGAACCCCCGGTCACTTCCCCGTAAACACACGATCCGCGCATCGTCAGGCCAAAAAGTTACTCGCGATGTAAGGTTACGCCACCCTTTTCCGAACACGACGACGCCAACTCGTCGACTTCCTCGGAGCGACCTAGTACTTACCCAGTTCGTCGGTTACTATTTTATTCCCGATATAAAATTACGACGCTTACTACAGGGAAAGCACATGTCGGCCGCGAAGCCGGCTACACTCATCCACACGCAGCTCGTCGCTTCTTCCGGACCATCGCGTAAACAAACGCGGTTGCCAGATCGTCGTGTTCTAAAGCTGATTCCTTATCATCGGGCAGATAAGAAAAAAACGAATACAACTTTACTGTTTCGATGTGTCGGTACTACGGGCTGCTACGGGTCCTACGGCGAGATGAGGAGAATCGGAAGCTACCTGCTACCTTGCGAGACGTGGCCAGTGTGGTTGCACGTAGCGGTATTCACGAGGCCTACCGGCCGCGCAACCGCCTCGACGCTCGTACCCCGTACTCCGGGATTTCCCGGTGGCGTACAATGAAAGGCCCGTCGTCGAACCTATTTCCCGTTGCCTCTCTATTCGGGGTGGGTTATTTCCCCTTGTGCAAGCCTCACGCAACGCTGGCTTCGCTGTCGTGCTGCCTGGCACTCGGTACGTCCAACGACGTTTTATAAGCTATTTACCTTCCCTGGTAAATTTTGCTTTTACGAAAGAAACTGGACAAATATGATTTGCCATATTTGGGCTTCAGCCTTTGGGGTTACCCATACAGATAGCACTCAACGCAAACATGTTTGCACGAGTGAGTGTTTTTTTCGGAGGGGGGCCGAGGGGGAGAGGAGGTCAAAGTGGGTCCCCATCGTTTGTCGAAACTCGTTTCACAGAATTACATTTCGTGGACAACTTTTCATGGACATCCTCCGCACAAATGTTACATCGACACTCGTTATGTGAATTGCACGCTGTAGGGACATTTTGTCGCGCGTGCATCGCCGAGGCAAGTGTTAACCCATCCAGCCGCCCCGTTTTTGTCGCTTCGTGGTGACAGTCTGCGGCGGCTCATTACAAAAATGTTAACCCACCTGACCCACTTGTAGAAGGCGCTTTGAGGTGACAGTCTGATGCACTTTATTACGGAAACAAGCTAATCTGAGCTGTCTATGAAATGATTCGTCAATGAAACGTCTTTCAATAAACCGATTGCTACAGGCTCAAAGTGCATATGTATATTAGCTTTGTTCGCTTTACCTGCCCCGGTGCAGAAAAGTGTAGGGCAATGTACTTCCGTTCTGTGGAGAGATATGACCGGAAGTCCACCGCACTAAAGTTCTCTGCACCGGTGCAGGTAAGTCGAATGAGGCTGTCATAGTGTCGACGCTTTCGGGGGGCTTCCCCCTGGATGCGCCACTGATATGGACTGAATGATAACTAGACCATGGATGACCCGGTCCAGGTAGTCGTGGCGAGTAAACGGGCACCTGTTTGACAGAGATGTTTTTAATTTTCTTTGTGATGCAATGAAATCCAGAATACAAAATATAGCACATACGTCACTTTGCATTCATTTCTTCAAATACAAACTGTACAAAAACTGTCAAGTGCAATCAAGCCCAAGACCACGATTTGTGAATTGTCTTTAAAAAAAAAATCTCTACATAAAACAAACAAAAAAAAAAAAAATCTAGCGAGAATCCTTCTGACAGTCAGTAGCGGCACCGTGACCACTGTCGCGAAGGTGCCCTCAGAAACGTTAACAGAGATGGCAAAACTATGACGAAACATGGACAAACGGACCTCTCCACTTTCAGTATATGCAACGGTAAAGGTAATCTCATGTGTAAATGGCTAGATGGGGTTCAAAACAGGAAAGCCAGGATTCACTTGAGGACGACACTGAAGACCACGACTGGATGACACTGTTGAGCAAAAACAAGTCTTCCACAGCTGGCAACTCAAGAAGTGGCAAGGCGCTTTCTATTTCTTTTTTCTCTTTTTTTCTGTACAAAACGTCTCTCGCAATCGGCAACTGCATATAAAAAGCATAGGCACACAAGCAGAGTGCTGCTGCTAAAGGCTCCCTACAAAAATCTACTGCAGCTGCAAACACCGCTTCTAAAAGGCAATGCAGATGATTAGTATAAAAAGGCAGCGATTTACTTTGTCCAGATTGCATTTCATGGTGCGTCGCACTACAACACTCTCCAGCGTACATTGCACAACTTGAGCACCAAGACGATAGCCGTTGGGGGCACCAGACATAATTTGTCCCCAAGCAGAACAACATTGCAGCTTCTAAAACTCAGTCGACACAGCTTGACAAGATGAGCTTTCCTTTTAAGTATGCCAACTATGAACCTGCAGCAAAACTCTCAGAGAGGCAGACATGGCACTAGAGGGACTAAAACAGGCATTGCAAACAAAGTCGCTGTGACAAAATAATATGGCTATGCTCCGGATCTGCCGAGTACACTCAAGTAAAACACGGCACGCGTCCAAGGGAGAAACAAAGATAATTGCTTGTGCTATTGCAACAAAAGTGTCGACCAACTGACCACCAATGATACTGATTGCTCTAGACACTCAACTTATTGCATGGGACATCAATCTTATCTACAAAAAGAAAAGAAATTCGTAAACAAGACTTTTTCGTCGTCACGTGGTATCACATTGCCATGTAGAGATGTACAAAAACATTGGCAGAGTGATACACGTGTCAGCTTGTAGATTTCTGAATGTCCCCTTGTAAGGCCTTTGCATGCGAGCACTTTGGTACCCACAAGCTGCCAGCCAAACATGCTTTCTTTTTCAACCCATTTCGAGGGATCAGGTTCCCTCGAAAGCCTCCCCAAACGATAGTTTCACAAAGCTGAACCGTAGTGAACAAAAGCGGCAGCTAAAGCGAAGGAGGTTCCGTTTACGGCATACAGGGGTCGCTAGAATCGCCTTCACATCTTAGTCTCGTTTCGACGTCGTCAAAATATAATGTGCGAAATAAGTGTGCCGCTATCATTTTGAGAACTAAAAGCCCATTCGTGTTAACATTCAGTCTCTTCCCGACTAAAACACAAGCTGTCAACAAACATGGGGGTAAAATGAAACATGCGGCTGTAAGCGCAAAATGCGGTAAAAACACATCTGGGCAAAGTTGGAAAAGTGGAGCTGCATGTAGCCTAATAAAACGGAAGGTAAAAAAGGAAGCGTCTCGAACAATGACAACTAAAAAAATAACGGCAGTTCAGCTTCCACGACATAACAAATGGGCAGAACACACGTGCAAAGAAACATTTAAAAAATGAATTAAATTTTTTACAAGAAATAAAAACGCACCTTAAAAAAGGGTAGCTCGACACTCTGGACACTGAAACAAGCTCAAAAGAAAACAAGGTTTTCCGGATAGATTAGACGAGCGCCTGGGAGGCATTCTGTCCTAACCTACCTACGAAGAGTGCGCAGCCCAGGTGTTACAAACAAACAGTAGCAGCACGACGCATCACAATCAAATAATGAGTTCTCATTTGCCCTTCCAATCTAACTGAAGAAAGCCCCACTGAAAGCGGATGCCAGCAAAATTTAAGAGGAAAAGGATGGCACGAAAAAGCCACTGATGTTTTTCACAATGCAGTTAAATGATACTTTGTATGCGTAGAAGTCTCGGCATAATATAGCTACAATAAACTAAGCAAAAATGCGTTCACCGATAGACAGATCTCACTCTACGTATTATGATGGAGTTTTACTACGCAACCGCGTCTTTGGGGACGGGGAATTCAGGTTTTGGTGCGGGAGGTGCCGTAATATGGGAATTGTGCCGCTTCACTTCTGCCTCAAGATTCCTGGTACCGCACCTGGGCTAGGCTGCAACGACAAATTGCGACGCGGTTCCAAAGAAAGAAAAAAGAATAAACAAAAGCGGATAAAAACTGCCAGTGTCTCGCCAATCTGCGCAAACAACGAACAAAAAAAAGAGGAAAGAACCAAGTCTCGCAGTATAGCACCGCGTTGCAGGCGCCACCCTGGCATGCTTTGTGAGGTACTACGTAAAGGCGAGGAAGCCTTCAACGACACAAAAAGGGTCTCGAGGACACGCACAGACTCTGTTCAGAAGGCCGGGACACGTAATAAAGAAGGGCCGCAACGCATGTGTGCGCGACGACCGTGTCGAGAGGATGGCACCTTGTCCGTCCGGGGTGGTCGAGACGACTCCCAGCATTTTATGGTGGCGCCCGGCGACCCCCTTCGGTAGCCCCAAAGTCTGCGACGCCGTCGGCAACGGGAAGAGACGACGCGGGAGGCAAAGCAGAAACTTCCACCGTCGTCACGGTACGAACCTCGTCGGGGAAACGCCCCCAGCGACTTTGACGACGCCTCCTTGTCGCCGCAAGCTTCTACGGTGCCACTGAGCCCTTTGCTTGAAGGATTCGAGCTGCCATTGCGGAAAGGCAGCGGCGTTCGTAGTCTTGTATTAGAGGCAGCTTCCCCGTCCCTTACACGGGAACTCCGTCGTCCACACAAACGGATGCCGCTGCCTTCCCAAAACTGGTCACCCGCCCCGAACAAGCGGCCGGTATGTCGTCCTCGTCTTTACTGCAAGTTTGTGATGGGGGGGCCGGAAAAAACAAAAACAAAAAAAAGGAAAGGAAAAATAAACGGAGGGGAACGAAGCGCCGACAGACGGGGGACCGTTAGACGGGTGAGGGTGGGGTCACGACACTGAGGAGATGGGGTTATGTGGCGACCCCATCTGGGTGAGGACCTTGTCCAGCCACTGGAGGGGCCCCGACAAGTGCACCTCGATCCAGCAGGGCGTGGACGTGACGTCCTGGCGGTGGTACTCGGCCCCCCAGCCCTTGACAAAGCTCATCCGGATCGTGCACATCTTGGTGAGCTCGTAGACTGCCTCGAAGCCGTGGTTCACGGCCTGCGTCAACAGTTCGGCAAACTCCTGCCAGGGACGAGAGAAAGGATGGGGGCGAGGTGTCACAAACTGTCTAATGGCAGTTCAAACAATGAGCTCAAATGAGCTCTTAAGTGAGATATGGCATTTGTGCGGTATAAATCATCTTTGCAGGCTCGGATGTTTTTTTTAGCAGAGATTTCCCTTCCCCTCGAACGAACATCCACAACTCTAGAAACTTACGAATTCATAGAGTTTGACAAAGCGAAACGGCAGTTGGATACCTTGGTCCTATATTCCAGGAGGAAAAAAATGTCCGCCGGGTAACCAAAATAGGCAAATGGCGTCTGCTATTGCTGGCTCCACTGTCTGCGTGTACGTCTATTCGGCAGAGACTTCGTTGCCATGGTGACGGCGAGCGTAGCAGATGGACGGGCGAAAGGAGACTGCACTGTGGCAAGGTCAGGCGGAAGCTCAGGCTCTTTCAGCGTGCTTTTCAATGTGTGAAATGTGAACATAGAGTTTGAGATAAGGACCTAATGCAGCTAGCTGTTTTTCTCTAGTGCCTAATATTTTTACGACCCTTACATGAAAAGCATGCTTCTAATTCGGAATTTGAGCTACCGTAGAATACCAAGCATCCTCCCATTCCACAAGAAGCGCCCACTCCTCAGTTTTGTAACATTCGGAAAATAGACAAACATTTTTACATGATTATCACCAAACTTTGAACGGGCAATTGCTCAGAATTTTATGGTAGGCTTTTGTACGGCAACATGAAACTGAATCAACAAACAACACAATTTTTAAGCAGATTCGAGCAAAGAAAAAAAGGACCTACCGTGGAATACCGCACATCCGCCCATACCACATTAAGGGGGGACACTGGCTAGAGGTTGAACTTCTGAGCTACTCAAGTGATCGGAATGAAATTTGCAGGGGAGATTTAACTTCAGATTTAGCTGTAATGTGCAGACTTTCAGCTCTCTAGGACAACTTTACATACTGCATAAGACGATGTGTCACCCTTCGTAAAAAAACTCTACGATATGCAAATGAAGCTATTAGGCATCATTTTAACTGCTTGAATGAAAAGTGGGGGGTGTGGGACTTCGGGCTATCTAGTTTTTATAACTCAAATGTAAATATTTCAGGAAGAGTGATTACCTCAAAATATGAGATGCAAATCTGTCCTATGTCAATTTTTGAAAACGTAGCTTTTCCTCAATGAGGACTTTTAATTAAAACAAAATAAAGAAGATAACCCCGATTTTCCAGTAAATTTCAGTTCAGAAACATCTTGATTGTGGTATCAGAATACTTTCACCTTCGAACAAAATATTCCTTCGTATGAGATTTGCAGCAAAAAGCGGAACTGAGAAAAATGCATTCAAACATTGAACTCCTTTACTTTGTTACTGCCTCACAATGTGTTGAAAATATTTTATATCAACATAACTATTTGGCGCATAGTTACGAAATTTAGTGTAAGGGTGCATAATTAGTTTCTAAAACCGAAAACCTCAAAATTGAAAAATGAATTTTTTCAAAACATTTTGAAACTTAGGCCCATGTCCCTTATGGGCCCATTTCCTCAAATTTGTAAGATTTGAGGCAATACACACAGTACATTTACACGTGAAATCGATGACGAGACAAGCGCCCGTCCCCCATTCTCCCGCGATTATTTCTCCATTTTGAGTGGGCGTTTGCCCAGTATTTTACGGTAATTTCAAACTCCCGAATTTTGCAAAAATATGGAATACACAAAGAATGGTGCAATAAGAAACCTGATGTGTAGCAACACATGTTGACACCATCTGGAGGCCTAGATAGCTCCTAATAAAAAAAAATTCTGCTTGCTAAAAAATAAAGCTAAAATATAAAAAAAAAAGTTTACTTTTTTTTATATATAGATATTTTTTTTAAGTGTAGTTACTTTTTATTGATTTTACCACAGATTTTTCTCATTGCCATAGTGCCAATAACATTTTAAGGAGCAGGTGTGTAGTAGCTCCAGATGCCTTCCCATGGCTTCGGCATACATAATTATGTTTCTTTTGGCAAATAAAGGTTTACAATTAAAATCCTCGTTGTTACTACTACATCAAAAACACATAATTATGCCCCTGGTGGCTCGCAATTCCCAGATTTCAGACAACTCCCTGGGAATGTTAACCGTTGCAACTTCCCCGTCAAGTCGGAAATCCCAACCGAGACGAACAAATGCAGGCAAGAAAATCCACCTGATTGTTGAAGATCTTGAGACTGCACCCGGACGGGATCTTGCACACCGTCGTCGGGTGGAACTGGTGCGAGTGGTTGCAGTTGCGGCTTTGCACAAAGATGGCGCTGTCGCTCAAGCACTCGGCGTACACCTCCCCTCCAATGTAGTACAAGTGGACGCCTGGGGGAAAGAAAAGGAGCACTCCTGACTCCCTGCACACGTTATGTGAAAATGTCTTGGATGTTTCCACCCTGGAACGTTTTATCTTTTCTACAAATTGTTTGGTTCACCAGATGCAGTTGGACGAGATCAATGGACCGGTGCCCCAACTTCCGGTCCAGAAACGGCAAAGTTATGGGCACGGCACATCATCTCCACCGGGGATGACACACACACTCTGGTACGTGACCACTATCACTACTTATGCTTGCAGGTTATACCGTTTCACACTTTTCTCTTTCTGTAAAACGGGTAATTTACTTCTACTCACGCTAATAATAGTAATAATAACAACAATATATCTCATACAAACCAGCAATAATCATTGGTAGTTTGTAGTGCCCCAATATGTCTCGATCAACATTAAAGTCAGCGCTTGTAGCTTCAAGAACACAGTTTGAAAAGCTTGTATAAGCCCAAATTTAAGGCACAAATAAGGTGGTTTACAAATGCATCGCGATAATAAACAGCCATTAAAATATCTAGGACTCGTTTCAATTATCCCAAAGTGTGAATTATGCGTGTGTGAATCCAAGCAAGACCAACCACCTGAACAGAACGTTTGAGTTACTTTTGTTTTGCTTTACAATGGACAGCGGCAGATGGTAGGCTAAAGCACTGCACGGGCCCGGGCCTACCCGAAAGCCTGGGCCCGGCCCGGCCCGGCCCGCGGGCCGGGCTCGGGCTTTCGCAAAGTGTCCACCCCTAAAAAATTCGGAGACAACCCTGGTGGCCATACATCTTTTTTTTCTTTTGCAATAAGTATTACTTTTTTTCTTTTTTTTTGTGTTCTTTTTGTTTAAGAATTACGTTTTGCAAAATCGATAAATGACAATACAATCTTCTCGCTAGGCCAAGCATACACAAAGTACCTCCAAAGGGAAAACAAAAACGCTGCAAGATCCCGCGTGCCTCGCACAGTCTCGCATTACTCGTGCATCGAAAATAATACATAGCAAAAACAACCACGCAGCGGACACTATTGAAACCTCGAGGGGACAGTTTGGGAGTTTGTAAAGCTAAAAATTAAATTTCTTCAAAAACAACTTTTTCTAAAAAAAAAGAAAAAAAAATTTTTGCGTTGCACTTTGCACCAGATTGGGTACTTGCGACACGGCAACCTTCCATCCCTCCCACAAAGCGCAGAAAGCACACGGGCAACCGGAGCAAGGTGCGAGCACCACCAACCTTTGCCGATGTGCCGCCGCGTGTTCTCGATGGTGGAGTTCCGGTTGACGTTGGACAGCAGGCCCAGGCAGAAGCGATTGTTGTTGTTGGAGGGGTCCGTGAAGCCGTCAATGACGATGGCATGGTTCTGCGCGTGGAAGATCTCGCCCACCCTCGAGTTGAGCTCGTAGTAGGCAATTGTGCACCAGTACTGCGGCTCCTGGTAGTTCACCGGGGACACGTCTGCAACACAGGCAATCCTGTACTTCCTCACATGTCTGCAATCCTTTCATTGTGCTACCAGTGTGTTTTCCCAGAAGCACCAGAGGCGTGCCACAGACCAAAGGAGTCAAGCAATCGGGTTGCTCTGAGTGGAAGAATCTGGGTCTGGAGAAGCCACCATGAAGAAAGGCGCCAAATGTGTCCACACTTTCATACAACCCCACAGACCCGCCGAGAGAATGGACGATAGGAAATGCCACTTCGGCATACCCGAGACCTAGGGGTCATACCGTCACGATCGACGGGAGCAGAAGCGGTGGAAATCTCGTTTCAAACTGAAAGTTTCATGGGGCGTCCTTGTGCCAAACAAAACAAAGGACTAGCGTCGAGACAGCAGAAAAGCGGACGGCGATTTGGCGGCGTAACAGGAAGCGAGAGCGAGACTAACTCCACGTGGTCGCGACACAATCGGCATCGTGAAAATTTGGCCCAGAAGGTTCGAGCGTTCGGGGGTGAGAATGAACAGGCACTTTTGAGAACAAGAAACTAGGATGCAATGATGATGGTCACGTCTTGAGTAAGAACAAACGCGAATCTTCCAGAAGCCAGTGACCGAGCGTCGCTTGCTTGGCCCTGTGCGCGGCAATACTATATCGGAATAATTAAAATGCCACGTAAAGGGAGCCATATCTCTTTCAAAAGAATGATCAAAATATTTCTATAATTTTTACTTCCTTAAACTTCTAGTTATGTCTCTTGACTTTCTTTCACACCTATTGTAATATCCCAAGGGACCTTCGAAACCCTCGAAAGATAAGCCCCCCTCCCCCCTTTTTGTGGCACGATTTGATATTTTTACAGAAAGACCAAAAGATAGCCCACTCCTAGTAATTGCAAGCCCTATTTCCCTCGGTAATGTTCAGCCATGACGGAAGATAAGCCAACATTGCTCACTGGGAAGGGTCTTGGGTTCATTGCCCCGCCCTGCAATCCCAAGTTGTGCAGGTCACTAAATCTAGAGCTAGCATTTTTTCTTCTTTTTTTTTTTTTATCGCACACTGAAAGTTAGCTTGCTCCTTATTTTCCCCCGAATTGCTTTCCATCTTACATGGGCATCTTTCGGGGTATTACGGTACATGGATCAGCACTACCTGTGCCGCCAAAAACTGTTAGGGCATAAACCGCCAATGTTTTTACACCAGTAAGCAGTTTATCAAACACCATGCTACTACTACTACTACTAACAATAATTTTGCAGAACCCGTTGTATTTGGGGGGGACTGCGATAAATAAAAGCCTACAATCTAGGAAAATGTACCGACCGGTAACGTTTTTGTGCGGCACTCCAGCGAAGGCTGCAAGCATCGAAACTGATGGAATTGGGTAACATAGAATTTTGAAGCATGGATGCCAGTACTGGCAACTCTCTGCTGAAAGAATGGGAGAAGAAAGCCAGCACTAAGCAAAACAATAATAGCAACAAAAAAATGTTCAGCCTTTCCACTCTCATGAAGAAGGAAGACCAGTGGAGCTGTACTCGATACGCTGCCGCAACGCACACGCGCCCGATTCTTTGTCGTTATCCGTTTTTTGCGCAGTTTCCCACAATGAATTTCCACCAACGCGCCCACCTATCCATTCTTCTATTATAGCTGGAAAGGTTGCCGCCATCTACGAGCGACGGCGGAAACCATACTAGTTGTGTGCTTGCTGCCGTCGCTTATAGATGACGGTAGCTGTCCAGGTAGCTTTGTGTCGACATACACGGACACGATCTTGGGGAACCTAGCCCTTAAAGGGATGCTGAACCGAAATTTTGATTCCACAAAACACGCGGTAAACGCGTGCAACGGGATGCTACAAACACCAAAACATCACTCATACAGCGATATCTCAAAAGAATGACCAAATTTTTCAAGAAAAGGAGACGCATTTGACAGAGATGATGTCGTCATGTTTCTCCGAGAAGGAGAGGGAACGGCCTCGCGTCTTCTCCGCCTCGCGGCCTTGAGGGAGCGAAGCAAAGAGAGGAGGAAACTTGGTTTATTGACGTCGCGCGCCTCGTCGGCCTGGTTCAAGCTCGACCTCTTTTTCCAAAAAATATGGTCGTCCATTCGAGATATCGCCTTACGAGTAGCGGTGTAGGGATTGTGGCGTCCCGCCTACATCTCTAGCATTGTTTTTTCTGAAATCCAAATTTCGGTTCACCATCCCTTTAACAGCTCTGCTGTAAAAAAAGGTATTTCAAGCTTTCTTAGCACCTGCGACAACCTCGGTTTTCATTGATTTCTGCTGGCTTGAATTGCATGTCGGGTTAGAAAAAGTTTTAAACTTTTTCAAAAAGTTATTGGTCGCAAAAATTAAAAGCCGAAAAATTGCGAAAAAGATGATTTTTAGGAAACCGCTTTCTATGATTGTACATTCCATAAACTACCTCCCTCCGTAATTATCAGCACCTAATTCACCGTAAAAATATGCTTAAAAAATATTTAAGAGGTCCCGGAGGCTTCCAAATAGCGCTAAAGAGGCAAAATCGAGCCGGATTTTGAGCAATTCCCACTTGCTTTCGACTTGGCAAACGGCCACCATCTTGGTCTTGTTATGAAGCTTTTTTTTTTTTTTTTTCATTGTGCCGCCCTTCAAACTTGTGTCCGCATCATAGTTTTGGCGTGATCAGCGTTTTCCCGCCTCGCAATTGCGAAGCAGGGATTGGCCAAAGGGCCCGCTCAAGAGAGCGCGCGACTGCTATTGGCCACGAAGTTTGTTGTCCTTCCATTGCCATGGCTACCAAGACGCCAGGGCGCGTCTTGCCACCTTGTGTCGTCTGCTTGTTCCTGTGCTTTGTCAACTCCACTTCGCTTTTCGGCATCTTTACGATCGTTTGCAGCCCTTCATTTTAGTATTTTCGCATACTTTCCCCGCGTGTATTGTGACCGCAAGAGATGCAGAGAATGAATTAGGAGACAGCGCATGCATGTGGCGTATGGAAGCAGAGCTTGCCAGGAGAACTAGCCCAGTTATCCTGTCTCTTAAGAACGTCAAAAGCAGCATCATTGGTCCACCTCTGCGTGGCGGGATACCCATGCTCATTGTGTCGCTTCTTGCGATTTTTTTATCTATGCCGTCGGCCATCGAAACTAAGTAAAGACAACGGCGGAACAAAAAGAAAGTATGCGAGGACATTTCCAGCTAGACCGTGGGTAAGCCGTTTCATGTGGCGCAATCCTGCTTGCGATTTTCGGGATTTTCGGTTGCAACGTTGCTCGCAAGAGAGAAAACCAATGAATAAAAGCCGTAAATGGTGAATGATGTGCATGCATACTGTGTCCACAAGCTCTTTCCTGCACGAGAACACAAATTGCGAGCAGAATTGTGCCACTTGAAACGAGCTAAATGCTGAAAATGTGCGTGCAACTTTCAACTGCCATTTTCTCGAAATTGATTTTTCTGCTGGCATTGGCACTTATCCCGGCAATATCTCGAGAACAGTTTAATGATTTTGCATGAAGTTTTTCTATTGTTACTAAATAGCTTTTTGAGGGCATGACAAGCTTCCTTTTTTATAAAATTCTGCTAAACATTTATAATACAGTAAAACCTCGTTATAACAAAGTTGAAGGAGCGGTCGTAATTATTTCGTTATAACCATTAGTTTGTTATAGCCTATGTGCATCTCTTCCCACTATTAGCAAGCAAGGGAAATTATGATTGCTTTGTTATATCCCATTTTGTTGAAACGAGGTTTTACTGTACTCAAATACAATTTAATGTTGTTAAGAAAAAGTTTCTGAAAGGAAAATAATAAAATAATAAATAGGCCCGGAGGTGCCTATTTAGGAATGCTTATAGGTAGGGCTCCGTGTTTTCAGATAAATCCGAAAAACTCCGAAAAACACCCGTCGGTAAAATTTTTGGCAATTGGGTTTATCCGATAAACTCCGAACTGTTATGTGCCCGTGCCGCCACCCCCCCCCCCCCCCCCCCTCAAACAACAACAACAAAAAAAAAACATTTTAGTTTTTTTTTTTTTTTTTTTTTTTTTTTTTACATTTTTGGCAGCGCAGGTTTAATGGTCCTGGGAAAATGACACCATAATTATCTTTCAAGCCTCGGACCGTTGTCAAAAGATGGTCTTACGACTTGTCTCGTCAAAATTGGTTCAGGGAAACAGGTCATCGTACCATTCGTGTCACGACAAAAGCCACTCTTTTGGGTTCCAGTTTGGGTTTGGGCCATGGGATTTGGGATTTAGAGAAAGGAGAGGGTATGTTTCTGGGGTTAACAGTGAAAGCTATGAACCATAGAGATTGCATAAAATAGGGAAGAGGGGCAGTTGAAACTTCTCTATAACATCCACCTCGAGCGGCAGCGGGATAGATTGATGGCATGGCTACGAGCTTCCTTGCGGCTATCTCCGGCAGTTTATTGATTTTAAAATATCGACGTTTATCGAAGCCACACTTCTGTGCAGCTTTTGTCGTGGGACAAATTAGTATTGCAAATGACACCAACGCCAAATTCAACTGAAGAAATCATAATAGATATAAACGCGTTTTATTTTTTATCTGGCATACATTTGCATCCGATTATTATTTATTATTTTTAATAGGAAATACTGCGAAATTAATCTTTGAATTTCGGAGAATTGGGGATTTATGAAAAATAAACTCCAATAAACACCAAATTTTTTCTAAAAAATAAACTCCGAAAAACACCCTCCGAATTTCACAAAAAATAAACTTCGAAAACACGGAGCCCTACTTATAGGTAATAAATTTCACATTCCCACTATGTTGTGCTATTTCTCCAGGCCTGAGATAAAGAAAGCAAGGGAACCATACTGAACAAAATATGTAACTTAAAAAACCCATGGGTACAGCTTTATGAAACTTGGCAGTTACTCTTATATGCGTGTCATGAATGTCCCCTGAAAATTTCACGCAGATAGCTCTAAAAATAAAAAAAATTTAAGCTCCATGCCAACCTCCCCTATTAAAAGGGGTACTGAATCGAAACTTAAA